CACTAAACATTGTGCACATGAATATGCGAAGTATCAAAAAGAATTTTGATCAATTTTTATCCAAGCTCCAAAATTGTATAATTTATTGCCAAGCATAATGAGATCAATAAATAACTTCAATTTGTTTAATAAAAAATCGAGAGAATATATTACTATACACAGGAACACATTTGTTCAGATACTTTCTCGAAAGTTGAGTTCTCGGGAAAATGTTTTGAGTTGCTAGTTTTAGGTAAGAATTTACATGTATGGTATGCGATGCGGATTTCTGTTAATCCAGGACAGAAAATAAAAATATGATTACTGATATATAAAAAAAATTGCAACCTCAAGAGTACATACAGGTACAAGGTATCTAGGCACTCAACAAATATTTTTTACATTATATGAATTGTAAATTGACAAATATATTTCTGCTTACATATATATTTTTAATAAATTTTGAATTGAATTTGAATTTGAATTCTCAACTAAAATTCCGTTGAAACTAATGAAGAATTCATGCCAGCGAGACCTCAAATCAGTTTCACATCTAAACACGGTTTTCTCGGTAACAACCAGCATGTGCAGTGCGGAATCTTCCAGAAAATATTGCGAAAATCCCGATCGAAAACACACAAGCAGGCAGTGAACGAGCGCCCGAACGGAAAAAGGTCAATTGTGTGCTCAACAAACACTCGAAACCGAAACCGCTGCCCGGCTCGAATTAGTGTTCCCGTAAACAAAAACGGCGCTGTTCATAAAACAAACACTTTTCGAGTTTGGGACGCACAATGCGAAGCTGCAAAGCCAATCGAACCTCGTTGAGTGGCACGTTCCACCGTTTTTACGGTGCAGTGCATGGGGGTATATTTTGCCACTTAGTGTTCATCACGTTATTGAGCCCTTCGTCTAAAGAAAGAGTCTGAGACGGAAAAATCGCGCAAAACTTTTCATTGTTAAGCTCTGCAGGCAGATGAAAGCAATACATAGCTTTAGGGGGCATCGCTCTTGTTGTACGTTGCGACGTTATCTGACCGAGCCGTTAGGGTAAATGGTGAAGAGAAAGGGCTTAATTTAATTAGTACTCTCGGTAAATGAACCGGGCATGACTTTATGGGCCGTCCCCCGATCTAAATCTTGTGTCTCGAGCCGGAAAATGTATGGGATTTGCCAGAAAACATCCCTGCTCACACGGTTTGGGTATTAAACCTCCTTTGTTGCTTCCACGAGCATCTGCACGATCTGCTTAAGACGCTATTAGCGACGGAAATTAAATAGTCCCAGCCAAAAGCCTACCGACTGCGCCCTACTGTTGTACTACGAAATCTGAGCAATGATGGGTGGAGACCATGATTTGCAAACGTCCAACAAAGCGAGAGGCAACCACATAAATTTTCGTTGTCACATGATGAAATAAACGAGCGAAACTTCATCGGAAAACTCCAAACAAGTTCCCCATACAAAGCTCGACGTAATCGGGTTTTATGCCGCCGTTTGTTTGTGTGTTAACTGCGAATTTATTGCGCTTAGGAAACTTTCTTATTTATGTCATATTTCGGGGAATTAACGTTATGTTCGAAGCGGCCGCAATTTAATGGGATTAACAAAAATAAAATGTGTTCGACAGCGCAAAAGTGAGTTTGGAGCGTGGCTACACTTTGCAGCACGAAAAAAAGAGGAAAGCAACATGACAGCGTTGTGTACCTGCGGAAAATTCGCTGTAACAGCTTATAAACGACCCCATTAGCCTTACGGCCCAATTTCCATAACTTTCCCGTCAAACTACCTAACGAGAAAACGGGGAAAAGTTTCCTTCTGCCCGATGAAATTCAGCGGCAAATCAGGTAGTCAAGTCAGTCAGAACTCCCGAAAATTAATCTACTCGTTTAACTCAGCCACACCGAATTGAAATCGAGTAATTTTGAGTATCAACTTGAATTTTCAGCCAAGCGAAAGAAAGTGGTTTCGTTTAGATCGGCATATGGATCAGAGCAATGCCTGATTGTTCAGCAGTGTCAAAACAAGCGCACCATTTGAAAAATCCCAGCTCCCAAACGAGTGCATCTACCAAGTTAAGACTTTGAGGCAATTGAAAGGAATGTTTGGCCCTCAACCCCAGAAATTTGCGTGAAAATCCGAGCTTCTGATGATTTTTCACAAGCATTTGAACTTGGTCGTGAACTTTAAGATTTTCTGGAACTTGCGGTCAGACCGAAGAAGAAATCGTAACTTCCAAAACAGTATCGACAGCGACTTGAAATTTTGGTACCACGGTAAGGAAGGTTTCGGCTCAGCACGCAGACAATTTCATTGAAATCTGACATTTGCCTGATTTTTCCGGAGTTTTTGAACTGACGATTTGCTGCGAGTAACTTGCGGTCTGGTTAAAGAAAAAGTCGCCACCTCCAAATTGGCGCGAGCAGCAACCTGAGGTTTCCCGACAACCAGAAGCAACAGTTGAGCCTAAACATGGAAAATTTTCATTTCAATCGCACAATTTTCTGACTGTCCAGCCGACTTTGAACTTGGACATGAAATGCAAAATTTCTCTTAAACTCCGGTTTGGCTGATGAAAAAATCGGTATTATCAACTTGAATTTGTAGCTGAGCGAAAAGTGGTCTCTGACCGTGAAATCGGCAAAACTCTATGTGGACCATGAATGGGAAATTTCACATCAACTGGCCCCAAATGCACATGTATAACCGACGATTTAGCGCTTGTAGGCCTGCCAGTTTGGCCACTAATTACATTGCGCTGTCAAAAAATGGGCCTACTATAGGAGCAATCGCGGGCTCATCCGGAAACTTGCAATAGCGGCTTGCGGAATGCAAAACGAATGTTTTCCAGAGGTTTCGCAAGCTGGAGTGGCGAGTAAACCACAAATGGCCGAGTATTTGGGCAAGTTGCACCAAGAGAACCGAAGTCCGTAAAACACAGAACAAATTTTCAGCAAATTGTCCTTCAATTTTCCGGCAGTGTATATTTTCTATACTGTTTGACGTTAGTTGCGTGCGGAGCATCAGGTTGACGTCACTTATTAGGCAGCGCTCGCAAATTGAAGTGAT